TTTAGAGGAGAAACTGAAGAAGGTCCCGTTACTGCGGATCTATGGTTAAACGACATTAAGATTATGCTTGAGGGTCTTCATTGTTCTGAAATGGAGGAATTAGATTGTGCAGTTTTATTGCTGCGAGGACAAACACAAATATGGTGGACCAATGTGACAATGAGAGTATCTAGAGATCAAGTGGTCATTCTTTTTGGAAGAATTTAAGAAGAAGTATATAGGCGATCAGTTTACCCGTCAAATTAAACAAGAATTTATGAGTTTGAAGCAATGTAATTGCACTGTGTATGAATACGAGTGCGAATTAAACAAGTTGAGTAGATTTGCAGCAGAGTTGGTCCCTACGAAAAAAGATTCGTGTGATTGGTTCGTAGAGAGTTTGTGCTCCAGATTGAAGGAGCTATTGCTAGGAGTGAATCTTTCCACATTTCAAGAAATAGTGAATCGAGCTAAAGCCTTAGATCGAGCTCAAAATGAGAAATTTATGGAGCAAAAGACCAAGTGGAATAAGAGAGTTGGTGCTTCGTCAAGTGCAGCTCAATCAAAGAAGAGTCGAGGTTTGGGTTTTTGGCCTCACACTAGATCATCAAAGAAGAGCTAAGAAGACTCAATCAGTTGAATCAGAAGCAAGAAAGTCAACTCAATGTCAACATTGTGGAAAACAACATAATGGTATTTGTTGAAGGGCCTTCGGAGCATGCTTTAAATGTGGGGGGATATGACATTTTATCCGGGATTGCCTATTTATGACTGGGGAGCCTAAACAATCAGAGAGATATGCTACTGTACCTCAGAGAGGTAGAGGACGAGGCAGATGAAGGAATCAGTCTAATTCGACCACTCAACCTGACGTGCGCTCAACTGCTCGAGTGTAAAACCTTAAGACTAGTGAAGATTGTGATGATCCTGAGATCATTGCAGGTATTTTCCAGTTAGTTGATAAACCTATTTTAGTTTTAATTGACTCGGGATCAACTTATTCATATGTTAGTAGAAAACTGCTGAAAGATTTGAGAATTCAGTTAGAATCTATTTGTAGAGAGATGATTGTAACTAATCCGCTAAAGTATAGTGCTTAGGTAAATCAAATTTGTTGAGGGTGTCCTATAAGGATTCAAGGAATTGAATTCCCTGCTAATCTAATGTAATTACCCTTTGATGAGTTTGAAGTTATTCTGGGAATGGACTGGCTATATCGTTACCATGCCAATGTCGATTGTCGATTGAAGCGAGTAGTTTTGCTAAGTCTTGAGGGATCAGAAGAAATTGTGATTAGTGAAAGATTTAATCCATTAGTTAATGTGATATCTGTAATTTCAGCCAATAAGTTAATGCTACAAGGATGTCAAGCTTTCATCGCCAATGTGATCGATACTCGAGTCAAGGAGAAATGACTAGAAAATATTTCAACAATCTGAGAATTTCCAGATGTATTTCCAAAAGAGTTGTCGAGATTACCTTCCAATAGAGAAGTTGAATTTAAAATTGAGGTCATGCCGGGAACATCTCTAATTTCGATGGCTCCTTACGGAATGGCCCCAAAGAAACTGAGTGAGTTAAAGATTCAGTTGCAAGAACTGCTGAATAAGGGATTTATCAGACCTAGTAAATCACCTTGAGGTGCACCAGTATTATTTTTAAAGAAGAAAGATAGTTTGATGCGTCTATGCATTGATTATCGATAGCTCAATAAGGTGACCATAAAGAATAAGTATCCTCTTCCAAGAATCGACGATTTGTTTGGTCAACTCAAGGGAGCTTCGATGTTTTCGAATATTGGTTTGTGTTCTGGCTACCACCAGTTGAAGATTCAAGAAAGGGACATTCCAAAGATGACTTTTAGGACTTGGTATGGCCATTATGAATTTGTAGTTATGCCATTTGGGTTAACCAATGCACCAACTGCATTTATGAACCTCATGAATAGATTGTTTTAACCCTATCTCGATCAGCTTGTGGTCGTCTTCATTGACGATTTTTGATTTATTCAAAGACAAATGAAGAGCATGACGCCCATATGCGAGTGATTCTTCAAACACTACGAGACAAGAAACTTTATGTTATATTGTCTAAGTGTGAGTTTTGGTTATCTAAAATTGCATTTCTTAGACATGTGATTTCTGTAGAGGGGATTTGGGTGGATCCTAATAAGATTCAAGCTATATTAGATTGGGAAGTCCCAAGAAATGTTTCAGAATTACGGAGTTTCTTAGGCTTGACTGGATATTATCGAAGGTTCGTTAAGAACTTTTCAATGATTTCCTCCCCATTGACAAAGTTGTTAAAGAAATATATGCCCAACAATTGGACGGATAAATTATAATAAAGTTTTGAATCTTTAAAGAAGGTACTTACGGAAGCTCCAGTGTTAGTGCAACAAGAATCAGGCAAGGATTATACAATTTTTAGTGATGTTCCCATAATAGCCTGGGATGTGTCTTGATGCAAGATGGAAAAGTGATAGCCTATGCTTCAAGACAGCTTAAGCCACATGAGAAGAATTATCCAACACACGTTCTTAAGCCACAAAGCGGTAGTGTTTGCATTGAAGATTTGGCGTCACTATTTATATGGTGAGTTTTTTTATATCTTCACATATCACAAAAGTTTAAAGTACATGTTGACTCAAAAGGAGCTAAATTTAAGACAAAGGAGATGGATCGAGCTACTTAAAGATTATGATGCAATTATAGATTATTACCCCAGGAAGGCTAATGTAGTAGCTGATGCTCTTAGCTGAAAGACTTTTGTAGCTCTACGCGTGTTAGATGCTCGACTCGCGTTAAAAATAATGGTGTTCTAATGGTTGAATTAAAGCTAAAATCTTTACTCTTGGATTGGATAAAAGAATTTCAAAAGAAAGATGATAAGTGTTTAATAAAAATAAAACAAGTGGAAAAATGTGAAATTAAAGACTTCGAGGAAAAGTCAAATAAACATTTATATTATAGAGATAAAGTTTGTATTCCAAATGATGAAGAGCTAAATAAAGTTATATTGTTAGAAGCTCATTGTAGTCCATTGACCATGCATCCAGGAGGGAACAAGATGTATCAAGATCTGAAATGGAGTTTCTGGTGGCCAGACATGAAAAGAGAAATATCAGAGTTTGATGCAAAGTGTCTTACCTGCCAACAAGTAAAAGTTGAATATCAAGTGCCTTCAGGACCATTGCAACCAATCTCTATACCTCAATAGAAATGGGAAATAATTACGATGGATTTTGTAATGGGATTACCATTGACACCAAATAAAAATGATTCAATTTGGGTTATTATGGACCGTTTGACAAAGATCTCACATTTCATTCCTGTTTCTAACTGATTTTTCAATGGATAAGTATGCAGAATTATACATCAAGGAGATAGTTTGATTGCATGGAGTACCAATTTTCATAGTATCGAACAGAGATCCAAGGTTTATTTCGAGGTTTTGGAAATCTTTACATGGAGCATTAGGTACCCGAATTGAACTTTAACACGACTTTTCATCCTCAGAATAATGGTCAATCGAAGTGGACGATTCAAGTTCTGGAATATGTTAAGAGCATGTGTGATTGATTTTTATGGAACGTGGGAGAAGTACTTGTCGCTTGCAGAATTTGATTATAATAACAATTATCAATCGAGCATTAAAATAACACCATATGAAGCGTTGTATGGAAGGAAATGCAGAACGCCACTTAATCGGTATGATTTAAAAGATCAGGATATTTATGGTCCTGATTTGATTAAAAAAGTAGAATAAAAGTTTTAGGTAATGCAGTAAAACCTTAAAGTGGCAATGGACAGACAAAATTCCTACGCGGATTTTAAAAGAAAGGAAATCGAATTCCAAGTAGGAGATAAAGTATTTTTAAAAGTCTCTTTGTGGAGAAAGTGCTTCATTTTGGTCGAAAATGAAAGCTTAGTCTTAGGTTCATTGGACCCTATGAGATATTTAAAAGAGTTGGACCAATGGCATATCAGTTATCATTGCCATCGAAAATGGAAAAGATCCACAATGTTTTTCATGTGTCTATGCTCAGAAGATATTAATCAGATCCTTCGCACATCACAACATCGGAAGAAATAAAATTTCAACCTGACCTGACCTACGAGGAAGAACCGGTGTAGATTTTGGCATATGAAGTTAAACAACTAAGGAATAAGACGATCCAATTGGTAAGAAATCACAAAATAGAAGAAGCGACATAGGAACGTGAAAAGGATATGAGACGACAATTTCCTCATCTCTTTGTACAATGAAAAATTCAATGATGAATTTTCTTAAGGGGGAGAATTGTAATACCCCAAACATTGGATCAGTGACTAAAATGTAAGAATTTAAATTTAGTGGTTTAATTGGAATAAGTTTAAAATTTTCTTTAGGAGGATACTGTTCGGATTATGTAATGCCACGACAAATTTTCAGAGGTGTATGATAGCCATTTTTTAAACATGGTGGAGGATTTCTTGGAAATATTCATGGATGATTTTTCCGTCTCGGGCGATGACTTTGACCGATGCCTCGACAATTTATCTAAAGTGTTGAAGCAATGTGAAGAGGCCAACCTTATGCTAAACTGAGAGAAATGTCACTTTATGGTGACAAAGGAATTGTGTTGGGTCACAATTTGAACCCATTATCTTAAGATAGAATAATATATTTAAACTTCTGAGATTGTTCAATGAATTTTTATTTAAATAATTAAAATTTATAAAATAATATAATATAATTTTAAATGTTTTTATTTAGATCATAAAAACAAATGATTAATTAGTTTTTTTACAATTATAACCTTAATATAGAATAAAAAATAAATAAAAGGCTAATTAAACTTAAGTAATATGTTTATTTAATCAAATAATTATAATTATGAATTTCTAAATTAAAGTAATGATAACCAAAATCAAACTCAGCCTAATGCAAAAGTAAAGCAGCCCAAATTAACAGACTCGATCGTGTAGGTCTAAATAAAGCCATAACCGAGTCACTAACTCTGCTTTAACTCTCAAATCAAATCCCATCCCAAACTCACCGACTCACCGACTCACCTTCCCTGATTCTTTAGGGCTTTGGCCCAAACTTAATGAGAGCTTCTCTGTTCCTCTTATTCTTCCTTTTTCCACTTTTCATTTGAATTTCTTATTCAGTGTTTGTTACTCTCTTTGATCTATTTTCTACACCCGGCACCGTTGCATTACAGTTAATTTGTTTGGCTTTTAGGGTTTCCCTGTTTACAATTCTTCTGTGTTTTCGCAGCTTGTAAGTGCTGATCAAGTCATAATTTGTATTATCTAATACCAGAGAATATCAATTGGTGCGGAATGAACAGCTCCAGGGAAGATTCTCCAGATTGGCTGCGCTCTTTTCAGGTATATTTACCCTGCATTCTTCACTATATCCCCCCCCGGCGAATTATTTTTTTATGGCTAAAAATTTAAGGGTTAATCAGTTTTTTCATTCGTAAACCCTATAGCAGTTAGCTTATTCTTGCAAATTCGAGTTGTTTTCTTACCGAATGGCGCGAATTAACTTTTCTTCCAGGCACCAACTTCTAAGTTGACATTATCTTCGGATTCCGATTCTTTGCCAAATGGTAGCCTCCTTAGGGAGGATAAAACTGATGATGAAGACATCATTCTACACAGGTCATCAACATTGGAAAAGAAGAATGTAAACGACGATGAAGTAGATCAAACACCTTGGAAAAAGAAGAAAACTGATGTCTTCGAAAAACAGGAAGGTAAAAAGGAGTAATACTCATATGAATTTTAAGAACTGACGCTAGGGTTGTTTCCAAATAACTGAAATGGTGCTTAAATGAATTGTGAAAAATATATGATATATCAGCTTTTGATTTCTTAGCCCTTTCTTTGAACTTGACTTTGTTGTTTTTTAGCAATGATACAGGGAGTGAGGAGGATGGAAAGGTTTTTATGGAAGAAATGTCCGAGAAAGACTTGGGGTCTCATGTAAGAATTCACATTGCATTACCTTGCCTTGGATTTACCCAATTCAGGCTGCTCCTTTATTATATAGCATGTCATGGACATGGTCTATCAAAACTGTCATCAAACTTAAAAAGTTGATTTTAGACCCTAAAGACATTTTTGCTTTGGAAAGAATTGTTTTATGATAGAACAAAATCATGTTCATTCGTTTAACAGGATGATAAAAGCTTTATAATGTAAATGTTACTTCATATGTTTGGGACATATACTATAATAAGACAACCAACCTGGTATTACTCTGATTAGATTGGAGGCTACTGTTACTATGGGTGATGATGAAAGTAGTTGGATGTTGAACAGGCAGCAAATCGTTCAGTTTGGACATTGTCATCAGATTCTGAGTATTCTCCTGGAAGGAAGGAGAAAGTGTCTTTATCTCAAGAAAGTGGTGAGACCAGTGATCCAGTTCTGACTGGCAGAGTTGAAAAGGCTCCACGAAAGAAGACTTCTAAAGGAATATCTCCAAAAAAGGGGGTAAAAATTGGGGGGCGGACGCCCAAAAAGGAGAAGAATGCGAAAGATGGTGCAAAGGTTACAGGTACGATACCGGATTTGTACTGTAAAACTTGATTTTAACTTGTGTTGGGTTTGGCTAGCTTAAAACATTCATATAGCTGACGCAAAGGCCGTTTATGTGATAAAGCTACCAAAGTTGCTTCACATGCAATGTCTGATTCTGTTACAGAAAATAATGGTAATGTGAAAACTGCTGAGGAGGCAGCATCAGAAAAGCACATTGAACCTCATGTAAGAATGTTGGTAGCAACCGTGATGGTTTCTTGTTTGTTATCTGAGCCTCTAATTCACCGAATTATTCAACATTTATAATATATAGGTTTCCACCTCAAGGTTGCCTTTGGTGCTGTCCGAGAAAGTTCAACGCTCAAAGGTAGGATACATTTTGTCATAGTTATTGCTAATTTACAACGAGCTTTCCTAGAGAATTGGCTGTGAATTTCAAGAAGGATGATTTTGACAATGCCTAGGAAATAATCTAAAATTAAGAATTTTGTTACTGTCTTAGCCACTGAAGCTCTGCAAACAACTTGGGAAAACCTAGAAACCAGTCTTAACTATTATATTTGGTCTCTCTAGATGTGTACTTTTAAGGATTTAGCTTCGTGTTTTTATTTTAATTCAAAATCTAAAACTCTCTAGTTTGGTTTGATTTTGTTTGCCAAAGTAGAAGCCTCAAATAAACAAAATATTTTTGTGTTACAGAGATCTTAAATATTTTAGAATTAAAGAAAATAAATTTTGGCCTTGTGATCATATGTCTACAGTGAAAAGGAGCCAGTGATTAATAAGAAATTTTGTGGCTTGTGCAGGCACTTGTTGAGTGCGAAGGGGATTCAATAGATCTGAGTGGCGATATGGGGGCTGTTGGTCGAATTGTAGTTTCTGGTTCTGCATCTGAAAATCATGAGATGTTCTTAGACTTAAAAGGCATGTGTTGTTTGACTGCTCTTCTTAGGTTTAGATGATATATATGTTTATTTTATGTTTGAACTTGTAAATTATCATCTCTGAATGGTTGGTGAGTTACTGATGCTCTGAGGGTAGACAGACATTCTAACATAGGTATATTCCTATATACTTGGACTCGCTCTGCACTCAAGTTCAGCAAGTTACTGAATTTTCAGTTAAACTCTATCTTTTGTACTTTTCTTTCTAAGTAAATCTTGGCCTTACTCCAGGTCTAGGTTGAAGACCTTATCTTTCTTAGTCTCTCATGACTGGTTTTAAATGGCTTGTTTTTCTTTCAGGAACCATATACAAAACAACAATAGTGCCTTCCAGAACATTTTGCATCGTGCGTAAATTCCGTCTTGCATTTTCTCTCTGGACATTTGTGATTGTATTGATGTTGTTTACCTAGTTTTTTGTTGTTGTACAGGTTAGCTTTGGCCAGACTGAGGCTAAGGTTTGTCCTAGAAATTAACTTCGGCATTGCTTTGATCAGTCAGAGGCTTGTTAATTTCCTGAATGTTGCTGTTAAGTTTCTTTATTGCTTCTCTGAATTGCATATTCTGTTCTCAGATAGAGGCTATCATGAATGACTTCATTCAGCTGAAGCCACAATCCAATGTTTATGAAGCAGAAACAATGGTGGAAGGTACCCTTATTTTAGCCTTTTATTTTTCGTATTTAGTTATTCATTTTGTGGTGAGAAGAAATGAGACGGTGGGTTGGGGGCAAATAGTGCTTCAATCTAGCATTAGATTATTATGGTTCATATTTTGATATGATTCGGCGTTAATAGGTACGCTAGAGGGCTTCTCATTTGATTCTGAAGATGATGCCGAGAAGATGCTGAAGCACCAAACCGAGCAAAATGAGGAAATTGATGGGAAAATGAATGGGAAATCCAAAGGAAGAGCTGAGAAAACATCTGTATGCATTCAAACCACTTTGACTAAAGTTCATCTCTGTTAAATAGAACTTTGAATGCTTCTTCTCATTTGAATGCATCTCTGTTGGTGTAGTTGGCATCCCGGAAGAGAGGTAAAACTGGTGGAGGAAAGTCACAGCCGGCGAAGAAAGCAAGAAAGAAGACGGCCATTTCGAAGAAACCCAAGGCCAAGAAATGAATGAGAAGACGAGCCAATGGTGGTATTGGCAATCACTGCTCCTGAATCACATGTCATGGCTTGCGTGTTTGCTGTTTTTTTCATTAATCATATGCAAACGTAATATTTCAATGGCCACAATCTTAAAATAAAGTATTTTTATTTTAATTTATGGTGTTTTATTAAACGCAGTCTATTCTGGAAAGATGAGGTATTGGCAGGCAGGTAAAGTCTACGTCGATGAAAATGAATTGTGAAATGGAATATGAAAATCCCATTCCCATGGTATAAATGATTTTGGGTTTGCAGTCGCGTGAACTTCAAAATGTCAAACCCCACCCAAAATAAATAAATAAAAATAAGGTTATATTTGAACGAGCAATTTTAAAATTTAAAATTTTGGAAATTTTGAAGTGTTAGTATACATTAGTATTATAATTATTTTAATTGAATAAAATATATATTTTTAAAAAAAGACTATTGGAAATTTATATATTTATAAATGATTATAAAAAAAATTCATAAATATTTAGAACATTTCTATTTTTTAATATAGAATATTTCTACTTTTTTTCTTAATCTTTTTTATTAACGGAGATATTGATTAAGACATTATTTTTCCTACTATTTTAAAGTGATAGTTCATCTATTTCATGCTAACATAAAATTACAAGTATTGTATGTCATGTCGTGGGTGTACAATATTGATTGTTATATTATTATATGCAGCCTTATGAGTAATATTTATCTATACGATTTTAATAACGTTCGAAAAAACAATGCCAACACTCAAAAGAAAGTTTAGTGATATTTGAGAAAACAATATGTACACTCGAAATATGTATACAAGACATTTGACTTTAATGGCGTAAAACTATTTGAATACCCATTAATTATGCAACACATTTATACAAAGTTTAGTGGTATGTTATACTCGATAGATGAGTAATTTTTTTTTTTTTTGAAAGAGTAAATTAAGTTGTGTGACATGTCTATGAAAGCTAGTCGCAGAATGTGTAGCTATAATGTGATTGATGTATGTTACTCTATCGTTATATGTTTAATAAAGCATTATAACTCAGTAAGCTAAGACATTTATATTATAATATCTCATTGTTTATGTTTATGAACTTTATAAAATATGGTAGATGTGTACTACTAAACTTTATAGTCTTAGTGTTCAAACTATTTTCATGCACAAGTTATTGGTTTATTATGGGATAACAATATCATTGAATGAGTTTTTAGCAGCCAAGCAACCCTCGATCCTCATAATCCCTACTACAATTCCTTCGATTCCAAACTTAACTCCACCATCAACTGCTCTATGCCATGAAAACCCATTAATAGTTCAAAGAAGGAACTATAACACGAACGACGCAGATCTGAATCAATAAATACACACGAAACAAACTCCATAGCAATAGCATGAATAATACATTTTAGAACGTAGCAACAATTGCGAAACAAGGACATGACACAATTTTAATATTCAATTAGTCAAAGGAATTTGATAATATCCCGAAAATTTTGATATCAATGTTCGTTTAATTTCAATATATTAATATAGAATATTGAACTTATTATTATAATTATGATTAAAAAAACGTTTCTAGCAAGGAAGCGCCAAATTTGTGGATAGAGACTAAATGGGAAGATTTGTAAAGTATGAGGGGCAAATTGGTAATTTGTCAAAAATAAGGGAGAATTCAAAAAATTTAAAGATTTATAATATTAAAAGGATGGAGGTTATGATTTTCTTATTTTTGGAGTTATTTGGATAAAATGGACTAAATTGAAAATAATACAAAAGTTTATGACTAAATTGTAAATTTTCAAAAGGTCGGAAATTTTTTATTTTGAGAATTTTGTTCATTTTAACTAATAAATAAATTAAAATTAGGAGTAAGAAATGATGCCGCCGTTTAATTGGATGATTAAATGTATTGGATTAAATTAAAATTATTATCAAATTGATAGAATGTATAAATAATGAGGATTAAATATATAATAACATAATGTTAACAAATAAAGATCAATGACTTAACTAATACTATTTAAATAATTAAGTGACATGATTAACAAAATTTTTAAAAGAAGTTAGGGTTCACCCAAATTTTTGTTGTTGATATATATTCCTCCATTTACATTTTCTTGGCGGTTGAGAAAATGGAAGAAAATCTGGTTGCACATTTAAAACTCAAATAATTTTAAAGTGTTTTTTTTATAAATATTTTGGATGATTATGATGTAAAGTATTTGTTTAAAAAATTAATCTCTTATAATACATATATACTCGGTAAACGTAACGGTTCGAACTTGAAATCTTTATGTTTATCCGGAGTGTTTCCTTCCCTACCATATTGAATGTGGAGTGATAATTCTCTCACACGCACTTGTCATATAACTATTGTCATTGTTTGGTCGGATCAGTTTGTGATATCTTTTTAGCGAAAATTTATAAATCTCCAAATTTTTTAAACATTGAAAAAGAAATTTCTTCTTTATATTTATAGACGTCTAGAATGTTTTCTAAACTGGATTTTGTCACAGTTATTACCTGATATTGTTGCAATTACTCCGATGTTAAACACATCATAATTCTGGGTGTTTCAATTGATTTATTTGACTTTTCTTAATCAAACTTAAAGCCACTTGAACCATGATGTTTTTAGCTACTCCCTTCAGTCTTTAAATCAACTGTAATGGGTTAATCTCTAAGTTTCTTCCACATTTCAAAAGATTCTAAAATTTTTCGAATTTTGAGAGGAGAGTAATATTGATAGAATTCTGTTCTAATTTTCGGATGTATGAATTCTAGTAGAGACTATGCTAATTTCAGGGGGGGTTTTATTGTAGATATTACATATATCGGGACGAATTCACTTTTGACACAGTGGTTAACCACGACATTATTTCAGTCAATACTAATGCATCATCGTTTTGAACTAATTATTAACAACAATACCTCCGCCAAACAACCTTCGCACCTCAGAGTCTCTAGAGAAGGAACCTCTTCATAGGTATGATCTTAGAAGAGCATCTCTGGAGAAAGAATCTCGAGAACTCCGAAAGATATAAGGAGAACATTTATGAAAGAATAATCTCAAATATTTAACATCTCTCTAGAAGTCGCAACCTATTAACATAACTTCTGACAGGCCAATTCTAATGTCATCTGACCGTATTCACTTAATATTCTAGCCTACGGATAACCATAATGATCTTGCGAAACCAACTCCAAGAGTCAATATAAAACCTCTCGATCAAGACCGAAATAAAGGATGAAACATGGATGAAACTATCTCACCCCTTATCATGGAGACAGAATATTGACACCAACAACTAATTCTAACCAACTACGACTCTTTCCTAAGTAAAAGAAAAAAAAGAACGAATTGTGTATAACCCTTGTAATCCAATAATTACATCAACAAATCTTATGACTAACTTTGCAGTTTACATAGTTTGTGACTGTATACAATATGCTCTCAACGATTATTATCTCTTCAATGGATAATATAACATCTTCTACTCGATCAAATCACAAAGTAAAAAAAGGTATTACACCACCCCTCCTACTTAATTCAATGTTTGCTAATCTAACAATTATTTCTTCTGCGCCGATTGCACTAAGGCCTAATTTATTCATGATATTCCCAGGCTTCTTTAGTTTCCTTGATGATGTTCTCTTTCATGATGTTTATAATTTTTTACCATTGTTTTTAAAATGTACTCTAAGATAATCCGAGAGAAAAGGCTTGTTCTAATAGAAATGTAATAATTTATTAATTTCTAGACAATGTCATACCTGAATACAATTTAAATCCAAATGTCACTCTTCGCTGATCTGATGAAGGTAATAACATAATGTCCAAGCCTTCAACGTGATGAACCCTCCAGGGTTGCATTTTTGATCCGTCGTCAAATAGAGATGAGAGGGGCGTCGTCTTTAACTTCTTCCTTGCTTGAGGGAGCATCATTTGGTTTATGCTCAGCCGCTTCAACCTCCTTTACCGGTTGTTCTGTTGTCGCCTCCACCTTATCCTCATTGTTCTTGTTGTGATTTCAACGTCGTCCTCCATCGGCTTCTCGGCCTTAGGAACGTTTGTCTCCGCCGAAACAGCTTCGGAGGACGAGGTTTGAGGCTCCTTTTCCGACTCCGATTCGGGTTTCTCAATCTGACTCTCACCTCCATTCGTGTTGCTCTGCATTTATACATATAAGAAACAGCATTTTATGATATGAAAAAAAATCATGCATGTATAACTGGTGAAGTGAATTGCATGCACCATATATGTCTGAGCAGTGGTATCGGGCTTAGGTTTGTCAGAGCTTAAAGGAGCGCCGGCAGAGCCGTCGACCAAATCCTTAGGTTTGCTCGCACAGCCTCCCATGATAGAATTCCAAGTTAGGGGATGAGGGAGTCGGGCGTGCGAGTTTCAGGAGGTGGTCGGATTGAAGTTTATTGTTAGGATGACGATATGAGACAAGTAAGGTTAAGGCGATGAAGGAATGGGAAGAAATTCATTAATATAGTGGCAGCGGCTTCTAATGTTTAGCAAAACTTGGCGTTCCGGTTGTTATGTTAGACCTTGTCAATCGGCGGATACACGGTGGCGCTTAGTTTTCTCGGCCGCATATCATGGCAGTGTGACAATTCAGAAGCGTATATCCGTTGGAGTTTGTTGTAACAATTTTGACCTCAATATTATTAGTATAATATTAAAAATTAATTTTTAAGGTTTGTTGAAGGGGTTATTTTGATCTTTATTTTTTTAAGTATTATAGTACTCAGTATTTTAGTTTTGATAAAAATGATTTTTTTATGAAAATCGTTAATTTTACAGACGACACTCGTTATTATACTAATATAATATCTAATAAAAAATATTATTGTGTAATGTTAGTCATTGATTTAATAAATTACTAATCTCTAATAAGGCGATAATGCAATAAATTATTTATTTATTTATTTATTAAATAATGATACATATTATCATTTTATTAGAGAGAATTTATTAAATAAAAATATTTAGAAAATGAATATGATCTAAATGATTGTTCAATCATTTTTAAAAAATTGTTTTTAATATTATGTCTAGAAAAATAATACTAGAAACTATAAGACAACAAATTATTGAATGGGTTTATAAAGGGGCATTCAA